AAATGCTCTCACCCGCAACGGATGGGTTACCTGCAAACAAACACTGGTTGAGTTTTCCTTCGTTAGATCTTTGAATCAGTGAGCTGCAACGATGCAGACAACACCAGGTGAATGCGCGCTTTTATAGCCGCACGAATTGTGGAGGTGAGTCGGATTCCGGCTTTGCACGAATAGGGAGCCTGAAACGTGGAAAAACCGATAGGCCCTTTTGGCCAGTCAGTCGAGCACTTGCGCTATGCGACAACACTCGAATCAAACTACGGCCCAGCTTGAGCGTCCAACCAAGCCACGTAGTCCAATGCTTCCAAGATGTTGTCACAATAATGCACTCCGTCAATCCTCCACTGCCGATTGTGGGTCCGAATACCAATTGGAACAATCCGCTGAGAATCGCGCACCTCTGTCAGCACTTCCCAACTGTCGTCAATGTGGTAGACCTGACCTGTGTTCAAGCACCTGTCACTAATCAGCCGTTCAAGAACACGCAGCTTGCCGCGATAGTTGATCCTGTCGTCTGAAATGACCACGTACTCAAACTGAGGCAATGCCACAAGAGCTCTCCGCACGTTTTGTCTGGTGTCTTCCGCGTGGCAATAGGACGAGCAATGTAGCACCTTGAGCTGCTGTTGTAAGCGCGTCCAAGACACGCTGATGCAACTGCCCACTGAGGGTAAGTCGCAAACTTTGACGCCTCGACAAATTGCACCTGTCAAGCACTTGATGGTAATCTATTGAGATGAATGGGACTTGATCAATGCGAGGCTGTACTGCCTGAATCAACTGACCCTGTCGATCGTAGATTTCTGCCCCAATCCTCAAGATCGTTGGATCCCACAATTCAACCGGCTGCTCAACCCTTGGAGCGATCGGAGGCGCCTTTGGCGGAGGAGGCGCGGCTCGACTCGGAGCGATCGGAGGCGCCTTTGGCGGAGGATATGCAACTCGACTCGGAGTGATCACAACCGGACGTGCCTTTGGCGGTGGACGTAACGTACAGGTTCACTCGAATGAACTGCAATCGGACGCGCCTTCGGTGGCGGACGTGCAGGTTCGCTCGGAGCAGCCGCCGCTTCTTCCGGTGAAGAGTCTTCCGAAGATATCGCAAGAGTCTCAACCTCAGACCTGCTGTCAACTGAAACTGTATCGTCAGCTGCGCTGAGCCTACAAAGCACAATCGTCTTGCTCTCCGGCCAACCCCACTCCGAAAACTGCAATCACTCCCGAACCTGATCTGCCCTGCGCTCGAACTGTCGCCTTCCAGGTGCCCGCGGATCAAGAAATGCAAGAGGACGGCCGATATACTTGAGGAGGATCTCAAGAAGATGACGATGAATCGCTCTCGTCCTCTTCCTCGCCTGCAGACCTCCTCGACGCGTCCTCCGATCCCGCTGGTGAGCTTGCAGGACCCCTTCCAACCGCCTGAACAAAGGCGTCCGAGACCTTCTCCTCGGCCGCGGAGGCGCGGGCGGCCGTCGCATGCACCGAACCAGGTGATGCGAGCACACTCGATGGGCACTTGGACCAAAAAGGAACTTGGATCACTTATCTATTGCTTTGCAAGGAACAAGGATCTTGGCAAAATGCCGCACTGCAAACAATGAAAGGTCTTACGAGTAGGCAAAGGCTCAACAAACGCTGCGATCACTCACCTACTCTTCCTTTATGGATGGATAGTCTATATGAACTCTTGGAGCTGCACAGGATGCAAACAACCAAGACGGCCCCGAATGTCTCCTCTGCGGATGCTTCGAAGCTTGCTGTGCACTTGGATGCCTATGCAGGGACACGCAAATCGAAATGTGTACTGGCCGTTGGGCAACCAAGAGAATATGGAATGAGAGCTAAACCTGGGCTCAATCAAGTGTAGCTCTCGAGATACGTACGATTGAGGCTGTTAACCAGTTAATCCAAAGTACCGCGCAACCTCAACGGTACTGGACAAATGTGCAACCAAAGCAGGGCGCAAGCTATTTTCCACAGCGCTTGAGCCAAAGATAAAAGGTGCCAAAGCAAAATGAGACAATGCAACATGACACGTATGAGCTATACATGAGAAGGGGTAGGATTCCTTGTGATTTCTCAACTATATTTATTTATTTTTTTATATCCATTTATTTTTCATGAAAAATACCATAGCTGATCTAGACCACTTCCAATCTGATCCACCACTTAGCGTCGCTCATGAAAAGTTATCTTTGGAATTGCCTCGCCTCTTAAGCTGTGCCTCCTATTTGCCAGGAGCCAAGGCTGGAGCACTTCACAATGAGAAGATAAGATGAGGTGCAGGAATTCTGCCGAATGTTTATATATGTCCTAGTGTGCGCAGCTCAGTGACAACTATACTTGGTAGGTTCCCAAAGTGAATTTACGCTACTCAGACTCAGCAACAAACTGTATACTACTTTACAGGATGCATTCGCCAGGGTCATCAAGCACAGCCAGTGGTGTACTTCAACCTAACAGTCTACTTGAGACCGACCTAAGGAAGCATACCTGGCATATGTACAGTAGTCACACGACATATATGTAGCATTGGAGTTTGGTGAAGTTTCCCTAAAATCTGGGAACCGAATCATTCAAGGAAGCGTGAGCTTTCCTGCATCCAGTTACTAGAAACTTAAGTAGCTAGGAGCTTACTCCCTTACTTAATTAAGTAGGCGCCTACTTAGTTAAGTGAGGGCGGGTAGAACAAAAGTGGAAAGAAACAATTGGAGTTTGGTTGAGTGAGATGCGTCAGACCCAAGAAGCCCCACGGTTTGGCCACCCTGTCCTATATCCCATCCTACCATCAACATTTGCAGTGCTGACCTATTTGTTGTTCGGAAAACGCATCCACTTGTGCCATGTTCAGGAGAGCTCTGCCGACATAAACAAGTTGCACTGAGCAAAAAATCATTGCCAACGATCGGTTGAATGCAGCATGTTTGTATGTTTTTTACATCCGATCATTAGCCGCACTTTCCAATGATGACCAACATCCTTTGCTCAATAAGCCAGCAATTTGATTGAATTCAGCAGCAAGGCTCACGCTTTTTGTCCATCAAGAGACTCGATCCCACCATCGAGTCAACATGAAGACCAACTTGAGGTTCAAAGCAGTGATTGTCCACATAGCAAGTTCAGGAATTTAATTTGCTTGTCATGTGTCCTGGAAAGTTAAACCAGGAACATAGAGACGTTTCAAATCATTCTGGTCTCCCTATGTTCCACATCCTCCTGCCCGATCCGACCACGACCACTTGCGTTTTGCGTTGAGCATCGTCAGGGTGAGCATCTGCTCCACCAGCGACGCCAGCTCCACGGCCTCCGGGAGTTTTTGGCATGCGTTTGATCAACAGCACCAGTCTGTTGGACCTGGAGTGAACAAGAGGTAAGTTCATGGAACGTTGCAATGTGTCCTTGTGGCCGTAGTTGCATACTTGCATACGCCCAACTACCGAAGCTGTGTGAACCACACCTACATCTCTTAGGATGCTCTGTCTCACAAAGATTGATATTTATTTACTGTAGTAGATTGACCAACCTTTTGGCAAAAGGTGTATGTGGGTACCATCAGAGCCTGCAGCACGTTCCTTTTGATCTTTCAACCCACAAAGCACACTGATTGAACCATCTTGAATCTATAAAGCTGCACCGCTTCAGCTTTACCTTGCTTTAAGCCCTGTTATTTGTAGAAGAACCGCTCATCCCTAAACAGGAAATTTTACAGACGGACAAGTAAACACAAGCCTGCAGCGAGAGGCGGTGATCTGCGAAACGGTTTCATTTGGTATGATGCCAGTCCGAGAGATGCACCAAACACGGATACAAAGATCTGTCTACAAGCCATGCGCCTGTCACAAATGTTGAAAGGTTGAGATGTTCACCTGTGTGCCTTATTTGGTGTTGTGGGTTTTGACCTAGCATGGAACTGACCTTTACCCGCTCACGAGGTCTGTTCTTGATTCCATTAACCCCATCAGTGTGGAGAGTACCCAGCTGTTGAGTTCACTACAATCCACACCAAGGCATACAATCAGTGCAAAACTAAAGATTGCGGGAGGTTATATAATCTAGATTTAGGACTTGCGCCGACAGGCAACCACTGGAAACTTAGATTTTATTATTTTTTGTGAGGTCCTGAGTAAGGAACTCAGCAATAAAATTGTGAACATGTCGGGGTGTTCATGCAACATGCGGAGAAAAACAATCAGAAAGTGATTGTGGAGACATAGGAAAGCAACACATAGACAGGACAATCGTGAGCAAATGGTAAGAAAGTAGTGAACAAACAGCAACATTTTGTGAAGCGCCTCCCGAAACGACATGTGACATACCCTGGTGGGAAGTTTAAAGAAACATATTGGGTTTCGATTCTGGATTTCTTTTTGATCACATTTTGGTCACATTTTTGCTTTCCTCTTGCTTTTGGCTATCCAAATATGTCAATCATATCACCTTTGAATCGCTTTCTGCTCACGTTTCCACTCACCTTTTCTTTGCCTTGTCCCCTATCCTGCGCTCTGAGAGTGCTTTTCGATTGCTCCTACTCCTGCTTCCAAATCACAAAAAATATTGTGGCCACCCTCAGTTGTTGGCTGGACTCCATCTCTTAAATCTAGATTAGCATCCAGTATATTGGCGTGTGTTGGGGAGTTCAAGGTGGGTGGGGTGAGTGAAAAGCTGTGGCATTGCCTTGTTCGGTTTGCTCGAAGACGGACCCACACCACATACGACATACGCTTTCAGAAGGGCCATTGCTTCAAAAGAGATCCGCATGCCAAAGACTATGGCAAAACGATCTGTTTGGCCACCAACATGGCTTTGCAAATATGCTTTTAAAGGGATCAACATCAAAGGATGTCTCTAGCACCTAATCCATGCTGGTTGCTGAAGCTGGCGGTGCAGGGTTTGATGAAGAAACTTGAGGAGACCGACGCTACTTTGACAATATTTGGGATGGACACCAACGTACACCTCTCAAGTCTTTCAGCCTACCCCCAATCACCGCATCCGAAACTGAAACTCACCTCCGGCCGCTTGTCTTCCTGCAAACTGGGCGCGTTCCAAATCTCCAGTGCCTCGGGGACGAGGGGCGCTTTTGATGATGGATACATTTACCGATCATTTACCTTGACAAGGAACGTTGTGGGAGAAAGTTCTCATGCTTCCATGTGGTGTCTTTGATATTGTTCTTTGAAACAAAAGCAACGAGAAACAAACGACCCGAGTAGACTTGGCACTTGATGCTTGTCCCGGCTGCGCAGGTTTCTGTAATCACAAGTTGGTTGTTATATATATATATACACTGTATGTACCTCAACAGCAACGAACACCTGTGCCACTGCCAATGGACATGATCAGTATGCTCATCTCAAACTGGACCATTCTCACAGCAAGAACTCACTTTCGGTGAATCTCAAACAAGACTTAACTCCTCATATCGAATTCATACCACCCTGTAAACTCACCACACGTTGCCCTGCCCTTGGTTCTCTTCCATTGGGAACAAGTCACATCGAAGAATTCCCAGGTCTGGTTGAACCAGCGGCCGACGGTCTGCAAGAACCAATACCAGGAGCAGTAGGCTCGGTGGGTGGTCTATCAGAGTCTATCAATCCCACAAGTACCCCGTCTCCCTGCACGGACCGGCAATGCCTCAGGGTGATCCCATAAGCCCACTTATCGTGCTGGGCTGGACTGCGGCGCAGTCATTTCCGGAAAATAATGACCAACCTTATGATGTCGGCTGCACTGCGGTTGACCGTCGTGAAGTTGTGGCCTTACTTCCTAGACCACCCACTGTGTAGTAGCTTCTTGTTACTACTAGTAAGGCACTTGTTACTAGAAGCGTCTCGGGTTGCATTTGGCCTACTTGCAATGCTGTGCGAACTTGGGAGCATGTTGCTCGGCCATCCCCCGTTGTGTCCCTCCCTGCCTCATCCTCCATTTGGGTTTACTGCTCGTTGGGGCTGGGTGGTGGCGGGTGTATCTGGTGTGGAGGTGCCTCCATGGCTGGATGCCGTGCAAAGACTCTCACAATCATCGGCTTGCTCCGCAGGCATTTTGAATGTCCGTCCTTTCTGTGCGCGATCTGAACACGGAGTTGTTGCGTGTCGCCAAGGTCTACACACAAAACGCAGAATCCAATGAATATTACAATGTTTCCGTGGCTTTGGAAATCACCATGGAAGTGCACCAGCTGTTAGAAGAGCTCCTGAGGACTGAATGTTGTGCATATGTACCACCACCTGCAGTACAAACTTTCGTCTGTGATCCAGCGATAGGAGTCTTTCCAACATACAACACTTTTGCATCCCGGTTGAGATTTCATGTGACCCTGTGGCAACAATGTTGTAGTCACAATTGATCGGAACACGGGTTAATGTTTAGCTGTATTATTCAACATTGGAAGTTGGAAACATAGCTACAATGCAGGGGGTGTAGCCAAGCATATTTAGAGACGCTGGAGCCCTACCAGCCAAAGTGTGACGATGAGTCCCAGCATTTCATGGAGACCAAAAGGCTACGATCACATCAGCTTGTTTGGAAAAGCACGATGGATCCCACGATTTCATGGTGGTTTTAGACTGCCTTGGGCACCAAGATTTTGTAACGGATGCAAATGGGAAGCAGCAAAAGCATATAGCGTACATTCTTTTTGTAGAGACTTGGTGGTCTCAACAAATAGGACAGGCAAGCGGGTCTGGAATAAGCAAAGAGCTGTCATTTTTGTAGAGCCAAGACACTCTCAACAAAGAGCTGTCATTTTGCAGAGCCAGGGCACTTTCAACAATACGGACCATCGTTTTGGAGAATCTCTGGATCATGTAGGCTAGAATAGGGCAGATGAGACTAGAACATACTAGATAGGAGTAGGTACAAGGATCCTGAAAGATACAAGATCAAACAAGAGCTATCATTTTGTAGAACAATAAGAGCCCCAAATAATGGTCTTGAAGGGACGCCCATCAGACAGAACAAATAGGAAAGGTACGCGGGTCTGGAATAAGCAAAGAGATGCATACACCCTGTCGACACCGCGTTCCTTCTCTACAAAGTGGTAAGTGGTTGGATGGCTGTGGCTTTGTGAGAAAAGGTGTTTTTTTTCAAAATTGCCGTCCATCCATTTAACAGTCAACATGGTTTCTCTACAAAATGAGGCCTGCATCGTCATATATAATTTGATATCACTACAAAGTGACGGGCCTGAACGTCACTTCAGGGGTCCAAAAACCTTGCGTTTTAATACGGGCCCCATTGCCACTCATTTTATGCAGGAAATGTTGACCCCTATACTTTTGCCGCTTTGCCTCTTTGAGATAAGCGCGCGGCTGATCTTGTTACGTTTCTCAGGGGTGACTGGTCACCTCGCCGACGTCACTCGCCTCCACAGGAGAACTCGCGTCCACGGAGCTCGCCCTGGGCCCGGCCCGGCGCACATGAGCACCGCCCAGGCCGCGTGCCTCGCGCGCCTCGCGCGCCGTGGCAATAGTTGGCCACCTGGAAGAAAGGACATGAGCGGATGTTTCCAAAAAGGAAACCCAGCAGCGTTTCTGTTGTAAGAACATTATTGTGTGGCACCAGACGCACAGTCCTGGCTTACATTCTATTTTCTGCTTCCATTAGCAAAGGAAGATTTAAATCATTCTTTCACGCTAATCCAACTTGCCTTTATGACGTAACACCAAGGACCAAGGACTTCTAATCTGGCGAGAGGTCCTCGAGGCACTCGAGGACTTCCCAAATGTGCGAACAAAAGGATGGGATAAAATGCTAGGATGTTTCCGGAACCTTGGATTGAAGTCTTACTCGCTCCCCATTGTTTGTTGGGCGCACTTTGAATCCGTCATGCTTGTGTTTCGCATAGGGTTTTGTCCCTGTCCTTGTCGTTTGGTGGGAGATATGCGCAAGCTTGGTATGAACTGCAATGCCAAGAGTTTGCAAAGAATTTGCTTCAGTGAAAATGACTGTCCAAATCATTTCTAAGCTGGAGCTAGACTGGCCTTGCAACAAACAGAAACACATTCTAAGTGGTAACTTAATTGGATTCACTTGTTCACCCTCACACATTGAGGTATACTCAATATCTTTACAGACGGTACGTAGATTCACTTTTTGGTGTCACGATCCCCCATTACAACGTAACCTAACCCCCCTGCACAGCTAGAGGGGCGCCTGGTGCCCAGCCAGCAAGCACCCAAGGGCAGCAATGGGAATGTCAACGCCCAACGTCGACGGCGCATGGCGGCCGATTTGGACAAGTTCACCGCTTTTGATTTATTGATATTTATTGTAAAGGGATTTCCAGGTATACCCAAGGCATCAGGGACTGAGCCATACACTAAGGCAGTTAGGTCGCATTTCTGGAACTCACACGCCACTTGCACACCTCTTTTGTTGTCTCTTGGGATCCAAAAACGGCAGGCCAATAGGCACCACGACTGGGTGGATACCAACCAGAAGGAAGTTGCGGGCTGCGACTTGGCGATGTGTGGGTGTGATGGATTTTGCACGATTCTTGCGGATCGGACCCCAGGTATTTTGCGGCGGTATAGTGCTTGAGCTTGAAAGAGGCACAGGAAGGATGATCATACAATCCCCATGAGCAAGATCGGGAGAGTCTGCTTGATCTTTGAGCTCAAATCGAGCAAAGATCTGAGACTGAAACTCTTGACATGAGTTTTCATAGAGTTCATGGTTTTGGTCTTGAGTTTGTGCTGATTGGCCACACACACACACTTAGTAGCGCAATGCCCGCCGGTTCAGAGGACTTGATGAGGACCTCCTAAATGTTCCTTAGACGCCTCATCTGGCTGGTGGCTTTCCACTGCAAAAAAGGGTGCCGCTTTGAAGCGCTGGTTGTATCATTAACATACTGAACCTTGTGCCCATACCAACTGTAGAGGATCCTCCATGTGACCACGTTCCATGACCATGTGGCTGCACTTGAGAGAGGGGGGGGTGAACGAAAGGTAGCAAGCAATCACAAGTAACCCTGGTAGAAGTCCATGACGGCGTGAACCGGCGCAGGGGGGATTTGATCGGCCCCCCCCCCGACGAACAGAATCATCTCTTACAGGACCAAATTCAATGCACAATCCCAACTCCTGATTGTAATACATTTTTGCTAAAGCAAGGAGAACTCAGGTAGCTCAAGCTACCTTTCGTGATTATCCGAAGACCTTGAATAGGAACCCTATAGTGCAATCATCACACCATGTGGGAGAAGGTTCGGATGCAACCAAACATCTGGTCAAGTTCAAATTGTAAACACCATAAACCTTTTACCAACACCATATCAGCGAGCTTCACATCTTTTCACCGTACGGTCTATGGCTCCAGAAGCCTCTCTCATTATGATAGGGGTCCTGACCCTAGGCTTGCCATGTCAACTTTGGCACACCGGGTTGGATTAGCCACCGCTACAGGTCATATTTTTAGACCTCCTGGAATAGATCCCTACAACGGGTTCCAAGGACCAAAAGGGAAAAACAACACGCTAGATCTGATCTTCACAAGCAGATCTAACAACCCCACCGGAACATCGTCGGAGCCCTTCAATAGTGCGATGTTGATCTATGTCACTGGCCGGCCAATGGGCATACCTGCAAGTGTTTTGGTCTTCTGGCATCATATGTGACAAAAAGTTACTTGACAAGATCGTGCCAACTTGGACTACGGTATCCAGGTCGTTCAAAACATGTGTCTAAAACATGAACCCCAACTCTTTTGGGGCTATCCCCGGCCAACGTCAGGAAGCCCCTGCCCTCTAACAGCGCAATCATTTTCCCCATGTGATAAATCACATGGTTTACCTTTTGATGGGAGTGATGGGTGGTTTTCTTGTGGTAAGCTTTAAGCCAATGTCAAGCATTGCAGATTCTCTTTGCAGCGCTTCAATGTGTGTGTGTGTGTCCTTGACGGCCAACGGCATACTTCCATTTGTTGGCTAATTCTTCAGGTGGGTACACGACATTTAAGAAGAAACGTAATTGGAATATGTACGCGCACTCTGCGTTCTCTAGCCCTTTTAGCCAAGCCGGCGCTCTGCTGCTGCAGTTGCCGCGTTCCAGGACATCCGCAACGGCTGCCGCGCCATTGCCAGAACTCCTGGCAAGCCCACGGCGCAATGGTGTTAACGAAGCGGAGTCGGCACCTTCTCTCTTCTCATGAGCCCATAGATATTTCCATGGCCAAACAATGTCTCCCACAGTCCATTCGCAAGACTTCAAGACTTCACGTGCCCTGATTTGGTTTTTGAAAGTGCTGTGCTGAGGTGTGTCAGAACCCCGTGGGCGGCACCATGGTTGTTTGAGGGAGAATAATTATAGGACCGGATAGCCCCACATGTGAACAACTTCAAAAGATTGAGGCTGCAGGGGTAAAGTGCGGAAGAGTGAGCATGGGGAAGAGACAGGCGAGACAGATATAAGGCGTGAGGGTCTCTGTGTGTACGTGAGGTGTGTGTTTGTGTGTATGTGCTTGTTCGTCAGTGTGTATCAGTGTGTGGGTGGATGTATGCTGCTTGGCGCATGTACTTACAAAAGTTGTACTAGAAAGTTGACAGTTCTCATCTTCCAGCTCCCCAGTTACTCCACGTACTAAAGTTGTACTACAAAGTCGCCAGTTCTCAGCTTCCAGCTCC